CCTTAAATACACAACTCACTGTAAACCAGCACATCTTTGGTCAACCACCATTAGCCAAGCTGAAGCAGAGCTGCTACCACCACCTCCCGCTCACTGTTGCCTGATCTGCCGCCATCTGACCATTACCTGGTGCTTCTGATTCAGCTATGTAAATAATACCTGGCCCTGAGGTAGGCACTTGCTTTGGTCACTCCTCTCCAAATGCTTTGAAGACCCTCAGAGTGAAGAATTATTCACACTGTTGTACTATGGAGGTAGGCAAGAAAAACAGTCAGGAAAATGAAGGTGGCGTCGCTGCCACCATCTCCATCTTCCTCCTTTCCTATGAGTGTTGCCATATGCTAATGGGACACTATGCGTTGGCATTGTAATGTCCAGTTTTTCTTGTCAAGAGTTTCACCCAAGTATTTAGTATTTTGCACTCACAAGCTGATTGGATGGGATGACTAAAGAAGCCCATCCTTCCAACATGAGAACTTGATAAGTTAGTGGGCAGATCCTTAGCACCAAACTCCTTACTAGGGAATATATTTCTGTGGAACATAAACCATTGCTTTATACTAGGTCAAAATAGAAATCTCATCCAGTCTTGTCTACTCCATAGCTGAGGAACTTTTAGGCCTCCAGATGTCAATGAACTGCTGCTACCATCATCCCTCACCATTGCCCAGCCTGCCTGGGACTGATAAGAAATGAAAATGAACAAAATGGGATGGGGGTGGGGGTGTAATTCTCCAGCTTTGATCCAGACTGGGAAAATCTCAAGCAGAAGTCTTTTGCTTTATGTGCTGCTTGATCATTTAGAACCAAAGTGGCAATACCAAGGTTTGCACCAGAGAGTTCTGCTTCCAAAGCATGTGCTCTGCTGCTGAGCTAATGGCATCGGTCTCCTCTTGGTAACAATGTAAGGTAGGCTTCCTCAATGTGATGCCTGCAAGATGTTTGAAACTACAAATCTGATCCCAAACTGAGCCAATTGTTTCTAAGGGAAGCTGAAGCTGAGGTATCTAGAACACACTCCACTGTGAGTAGGATATTGTAAGAAAGATACAGATTTCCACTGGGTCTTTGGTGAACAGAGTGACACAACCATCAGGAAAAATGTAGGCAACAGGGCCATTTCTGCAATGCACACATAACGACAAACAATCCCAGCTTCACCAACAAAGCTTCATCAATAAAACAGCCAGAACCATGATTAAAGTAGTATGTAATTTGCGTGACTTAATTAGTACAAGTGGGAAAATTATTACACATTTTCTTCATCTGTTATTCCATGTTAGTGCTGCTCTGGGATTCTGAGATCAAAATTTGGTCCAGCTTTGTAAAGCTTTGTAAAGCATATTCAGCTTCTAATGATGTGAGGTATGAAAAACTGACCATGCTATGAGAATAGATTAAGTTCAGTATTATTTACTGCACTGTCATACAGAACTGCCGGAATATCTTGAGCGGTGGTGGGGGTATAGTAAAATGTGTACTTCACTGGGAGTTGAAGAGGGTGACTTTGAAAAATGAATACATGGACCCTTTGACTCATGTGGAGACTGTGCAAATCTACTGAGCCCATGCTGAGCGCAATACACTTTCCAGTGTGCCTCCCTTAAGCCAGTTTTCTAACAGGACAAATATCTGCCTCAGCTCTAACAGACACCAGCTGGGCATAATGTGTTTCAAAAAGAGCCAGAAAAGCAGAAATAATAACAACAACCAATCCTAGGAAACACCGGGTAAGAAGAACGCTCTGGACAGAAAGCTCTAGGCTAAGTAACTGCACCCCAACCGTTCTGTCCCAGTTTCCCCATCTGCTCCTTTTTGTTCTTAGCCTTTTGCCACCTGTTCTGCCTCTGTCGTTTGGCCCCTTTTTTTCCTCAGTACTGCCGGGTAACGGCTTTTGAATTCCCCTGCATTTTGCACCTGTCCGTTTTCCGTTAGATTCCCCCAAGTGTGCCGCCAGGTTCCCCAAATCGTCCGCATTTCTCCTTCCCGCTTAGCCCAGCGAACAAAATCCCCTTGCAGTCGAGGCGCGGGGAAAGGTGAGGGCGGCCGCTTCATCTGTTGCTCCCGAGCATGCGCACATCATTCCGGCCATGCTCCCTCATGGGCAGTTGAGAATGTGACCCTTGGAGCTGGGCAAGTCCCAGACTTAATCCCCCTCTAAGCGCAGGGAGGGCAGAGTCGCCATAGCGGCCGCGCGCGAGTGCCCAAGAGCTGAGGAGGCCGCCCGACGCAGCAGCAGCAGCAGCAGCGCCCTTTGGTCCACGCGACGACGTGCACCTGCCGCCGATAATCAGCACCAGCCTTTTTGCCTGAGGCAGGCGTCATGGCAGAGGCGCAGGGGCCCCTGGAGCCGGCTCTGGCCCCGGCTGCCGAAGAAGAAGGAGAAGAGGTGCCAGGGAAAGGCGGGAACGAGAGCGGAGCTGCGGCAGAAGAGAAGGGAAAGGAGGAGACCAAGGCGGTCCCGGTTGCCTCCGCTTCTGAGCAGGACGAAGCTCAGAACCGGCCGCCCGACGAGTCAGACCCGGGCGAAAGAGAGGTCGAAGGGGGGAACCAGGAGACCGGCGCCGCCGCCACCGCCGCCACCACCAGCAGGAGCCGCGCCGGCAGCCACCCACAGCCGGGGGACGCAGAGACGACCCTGGACGGAGAGGCAACTCCGGAGGTTGAGAGGAGCGGAGAAGGGGGCGAGGCGAGCGCGGCTGAGCGAGCCGGAGAGCAGGACGCAGCCCCGGCCGGAGAGAGTCCGAGCGCCGAGGGCGCAGCCGACGCAATGTACACACATGTGCAGGACTTTGGCCTATGTGTGCTTTACTGTACCTGATATTAAGGGTATTCAAGAAACTGACAGTTGATCTTGAGCATTTATGTTAGGGAAGCCAGGGAAGGTTAAAACGTAAAAGGTCTCTTAAAAGTGAAACAAACAACCGGCGCCCCCGCAACCGGAGGGAGAAGCGGGCGAGAGCCCGAGCGACGGCGAAGCGCCGCCGCCCGACGGCGAAGTCAGCGCTGAAGGGCGAGAGCGCGTGACGGAGGAGAGCGGCCCCGGGCAGGGCGAAGCGAAGGTCCAAGGCGAGGAGCAAGAAGAGCCCGCCGGGGATGAGACGGTCCCGGGAGAAGGGGACCGAAAGGAAGAGCCCGAGGGGGCTGCGCTGGAGGAGAAAGAGGCCGAGGAGGAGGAGCAGGGCGACGAAGCCGTCGGTGGGGAAGGAGAGCAGGAGCTGGCGGCGGCTCCGTCGGGAGAAGAAACCGCCGGGGGAGACCGTCCGTCAAGCGATGCCCAAGTGGAAGGACGCCCCGCCGAGGAGGAAGGGGCTGCGGAGGCGAGAGACCCGAGGGAGGAAACCGAACCCGACGGAGCGGAAGCCCCCGGAGATCGCGAAGCCAGGGCGGTGGAGGGGTCTCCGGAGGAGGGCACGAGCCCCGGCGAGAGGGAGGGTACGCCAGGCGATGAGGAAGGCAGCCCCAACCATGTAGAGGAGGGCGAGACTCCCGAGGGCCCCTCCGGCAGGGCCGAGGAACTAGACGGTGCCCTGGAGGTGAATGGCATGCAAGGCCGGGAAGAAGAAGAGGAGGAGGAGGAAGAGGAGGAAGCAGCCGCCCCCCCAGCGGGAGGGACGCAGAGCCTGCTGGCGGCGCCGGCCGAGGAGAAGCAAGAGCATGACATCTCCCTCTTCGTCAAGGTAACGTAGCACTCTCGTGGAAGGGAGGGAGTTCGTCCTCGCTCGTAGTTGCGGGTCGTGGTTATGCGGGTCGGAGAGCTCCTGGAAAGAGCGTTCGGGAATGCGAGCAGACAAGCCCTTCTTCATGTGCCCCAACATCGGTTGCACAAAGTTACATCTTGGAGTGGAGGTGTAGTTGGGCTCGTGGTTGAAGTGGCTAAGAATCCCCACTACAGATGTCCTGGTAAAATCCACTTGTTTGCTACCCTGTGACTGAAGTAGAGTGGCCTGCAGTTTGTAAAGAGGCAAACCAAACTGAAATAGAATATGCTTGCTTGCTCGCTCGCTTATTTATTTTTTTGTTTGTTTGTTTGCTGCCTTTCTCCCCCTGTATGCTTGCTTGCTCGCTCACTCGCTCGCTTATTTGTGTTTGTTTGTTTGCTGCTTTTCTCCCCATAGGGAATTTCTGTACTCAGCTTTGCATCTTCTTCAATTTTGTGTCCTCAAAACCTTCCCCATCCTTTCTCAAAAATAATTGCTCAAAAAAAAATTCCTTTGTGTTTCCCATCACAAATGGTAAATTGTCTCACTTTTATTTGGTAGTGTATAAGACTGCACTGTGTGGGTAAGCTACATAGGTCATTTCCTTACCATAAAGAACATTTGCTAAGCTTTGTTTAGCAAGCAACCTTTGCTAAGTACTCTTTAAATATGTCAGATAAAAATTCAGTTTTGCTAAGATGATTTCGTTATTAAACCCCAAGATAAGTCTACTTCTGACTTCATGATTAAAGAGAGGAATAGTATACAGTATTACAGTGTCTTGTGCTCTAGAAGCACTATATCGCTTACAGACAGTAAATTTGAGAGGTTGTGTCTTTAAGGTTACTAAGAAGTTGTTGTACAATATAAAACCAAGGCATGCTACAGATATTTTCATCCAATATTTCAGACTTTGTTTCTTCTGAGTTTTTTAAAAATGAAGACGCACTCAGTACTGAGCTTTAATGTTTTTTTCTTAGCAGCTGTTTCATTTTCTGAGGTCAAGATCATTGTGTCATTTACAAACACAAATAAGAATGTCAGTTAAGATTTCTAACTCACATTTATAAGTAAAGGTACTGAATGAAAAATTCAGTTGATACTGGTAAACATTACTTTCCTGTTTACTACTAATCAACAATGCTCTGCAAAGATTCAGTACTAGTATGGATTAACTTGAACATTTGAAGCCTGTACATGTATGGCAGTTTGAAAATCTAGCTTATCGGGGAGAAGACAGAACAGCGGTAAAATATGTGAATTTATGACCAGAAAAAAGAGAGGTTTAGGGCTATTTCATGTGTTTTGATTTATAAACAAACAAACAAACAAACAAAAACAAACAAACAAATAAATAAATCAGCTTGAAAATCTAGCTTATCGGGGAGAAGACAGAACAGTGGTAAAATATGTGAATTTATGACCAGAAAAAAGAGAGGTTTAGAGCTATTTCATGTGTTTTGATTTATAGTCATGAGATTCACTCAGGTAATTTAAAAGGCACACAGCTTTATTGTTATGGTTGAGTAATGAATATAATTACAAACTAAAGAGCAATTTTGGAAGAATTGCAGGTCAGATATTTATCTGAGAGTTGGTTCTATTCTCACCCCAAACCAAAAAAACAACAACATGGCTATTACACAGGATTCATTTCATGCTGCTGTGGTTTAGCAAGAAAAGCAACAGCCTGCTTACAGCTTGCAATATAAATTGTAACTTAAAGACTGAAATCCAGTAGTAAGTACAGTGGGGTCTTGACTTAAGAACGGCTCGAGTTAAGAACATTTTGACTTAAGAACCACTCTCATAGGAAAATATTGACTTGACTTACATACTTAGATTTGAGTTAAGGTAACGAGAGTAGGCCCACTGAATCAATAAAATCTAGGGCTTAATCCAACTGGCAATTAAAAAAAACACTGTTTAACCCACCCACCGCAATTTAAATTTTGGCATACATATGAGGTATGAGCATGCGTGGTGCCAGCAAAACAGGTTTTTCTGTTCCTCTTCTCCACCTGAGGTCCATTTATTTGTTAAGGTGGAAGTGAAATCAATTTATTCAATCTGTGTTTTTAAAAAAGTTCCTGATATCTGATACAGCACTAAAGCAGATAGCAGGAATTAAAAACAAACAAAAGAAAAGAAAAGAAAAGTACTGCAGTCACTTGCTGGAAAAGCTGTCATGACACCAAAAAGCTCACTCCAAGCCACCAGTTGGCAAAACCTAGCCTTCTTTTTCTCCACTTTCAGCCCCCCACCACCTTCCTCCCTTCCTGCCCTATCCTTCAACCATCCTCTTCTCCTTGCCCTCTCCAAATTCTTCTACCCTTGTAGGCCCACTGAATCAATAAAACCTAGGGCATAATCCAACTGGCAATAAAAAAAACACTGTTATATTGGGCTCTGCTTAACCCACCCAGCGCAATTTAAATTTTGGCATACATATGAGGTATGAGCATGCGTGGTGCCAGCAAAACAGGTTTTTCTGTTCCTCTTCTCCACCTGAGGTCCATTTATTTGTTAAGGTGGAAGTGAAATCAATTTATTCAATCTGTGTTTTTAAAAAAGTTCCTGATATCTGATACAGCACTAAAGCAGATAGCAGGAATTAAAAACAAACAAAAGAAAAGAAAAGAAAAGTACTGCAGTCACTTGCTGGAAAAGCTGTCATGACACCAAAAAGCTCACTCCAAGCCACCAGTTGGCAAAGCCTAGCCTTCTTTTTCTCCACTTTCAGCCCCCCACCACCTTCCTCCCTTCCTGCCCTATCCTTCAACCATCCTCTTCTCCTTGCCCTCTCCAAATTCTTCCACCCTTGCCCCTTACCTCTGTCAAAGTGGAAGTGTATAGTACCTGAAAGTTATCAAAATATTTTGTACTTAAGGCAGAAATGTCACAAATAGCTGCCTACCTGCCTGCCTTATTGATTGATTGATTGATTTGGAATACTGCCCCATACTGCAAGCACTTTCAGGGTAGTTTACAACATAGTCACACTAAATCACATAAAAATTAATATAATATAGAAATAAATATCATAAAACTGATCAAGCCACTGTAATTAACAAAAACTATCTTTAAATAAACAAATTTGGGCATCTCAGGTAAGAAGTACTAACAAAAAGCAGCTTTAAATAATTCTATTTAGACTAATTTTTTTGGAAATTGAGAAGGAAGGGTCCTGGCAAACCTCTGTTGGAGCTTTGTTTGAGAGGTATGAGACAATAGCTGAAAAAGCCCCTATCCTGATATTCACTGTTTTGGTCTTCTTAGGTCTCACAATTTTTAACATCATGGACAAAGAATACATCGAATGGCTAGCTGTTTTGTAAGAAAGATGTTTAAATTGGGGGTTTGGTCCTGTGAGTTAAACTGCAGAAGCCCCTGTGCTGCAAGGTCAGAAGACCTGCAGTCGTAATATTGAATCCACGCGCCGGAGTGAGCCCCCGTCGCTTGTCCCAGCTCCCGCCAACCTAGTGGTTCAAAAACATGCAAAATGCGAGTAGATAAATAGGTACCACCATGGTGAGAAGGTAACGGCATTCCATGTCTAGTTGCGCTGGCCACGTGAACATTGTCTTCGGACAAACACTAGGTCTATGGGTTGGAAACAGAGATGAGCACCGCCACCTAGAGTAGGACACAACTGGACAAATTGTCAAGGGCCCTTTACCTTATAGGCGAAGACCAGCACCTTGAATTGACCACAGAAACTAACAGGAAGCTAATGGAGATGTGCCAGGATCAGCGATATGTGTTCATGTGTGTTAGTACTTGTGATCAGTCTGGCTGTTGCATTTCGTACATGCTGAAATTTCTGTACTACTGACTTCAAGGTCAGCCTTACATAGCGTTCCAGTAGTCTATTTTGGAGATTACTAATGCTTGAACCACTGTTGTTAGGTATTTATTCTCCAGATAGGGGTTGCAGCTGGGCAATCAATTGAAGTTGATAAAAGGAGCTCTTGGCCACAGCAAATATTTGGGCCTCCATAGAGAGAGCTTGGTTCAATAGAGAACCCAAACTGTGAACCTAATCCTTTAGGGGAAGGGTAATCCCACTGAGACCAAGTAAATGTCCCCCTAACCAGACTGATGATCCTCACAACAATAAGATCGCTTTCTTATCTGGATTCCATTTCAATTTGTTGGCCCTTGTCCAGTCCATTGTAGCTGCCAGACAGTGCTCAAGGACCTGTCCTACATCACCTGCAGGTGAAGAAACAGAGAGAGAGTGGTGTGTCATCTGCATACTGATGACAACAAACTCCAAATGATTTCATTTAAAAGCATTGGGGTATTATATAGATATTATATAGCGGCTTCCGTGCCAATCTAGCAGTTCGAAAGCATGTAAAAATGCAAGTATATAAATAGGTACCACCATGGTGGGAAGGTATCACCGTTCCATGTCTAATCGCACTGGCCCCATGACCATGGAAGCTGTCTATGGACAAACGCTGGTTCTATGGCTTGGAAATGGGGATGAGCACCACCCCCTAGAGTTGGACGCGACTGGACTAAATGTCAAGGGGAAACTTTACCTTTACATAGTGGCTTCATATACTGTAGATGTTAAAAATGTTATAGCTATTATAGTTTTTAGCTATAAAAGTTACAGATAAGAACTGAAAGCAAAATTCAGACAAAAAATAAAGGACCTTATAGCCTTAAAAGGCACAGGCAAAGGGCAGAGAACACATTCCTAAAATACCAAAGTTCTTAAAAGTTAAAATAGGTGAAAGTCAAAAATACAGTTTTTAGCCTTTAAGCATAAAAAGAAAATTATTAACAATGTTCTCACCCAGCCAAGCCAGCCATGTGCCAATTTTCAACTATGAAGGAAAACCCTTGAAGTCTTTGCTGCTCTCACCTGCTTATTGGCATCTCGTACCTGTTATCTGTGTGGTTGGTATCTGGTGTGTGTGGCATGTGTAGCATATTGTCTTGCATATGTTCTCCTGCCTCCCTTC